TGTGAATCATCGTGAATTTACATACAGGTCTGTTATGTTTTTATTTCTAAAAATTGGCTAAAGTAAACGCCTTACGTCAGTGCTTTTTTAGACGTATGAATGCTCTCTTTCCAGCAGTCTTCCTTCTGCGTTCACACAGAGCAGCATTCCGGCAAATTACCAGTAATGTTACTTCTCTTTCTGGAAAATTGCCAGAACGAATTTACCGGTATTTTTAAAAAGGGCCTGTTCACACATACACACCTCTCCAGGAAAATTGCGGGTAATTTTCCGGAAAGGTCTGTACGTGTGAAAGGGGCTCTTGTAACATTGTAAGGAAGCTTTTCCCACGGTTAGGAAGCTTCTGTGGGATGAAAAGTGTCCATGATATCAGGGGCGGACTGGCCATCTGACAACTCTGGCAAATTCCAGAAGAGCCGGACCATTTTTTAAATGTGGGCCAGTCAGCTATTTTTTCATATCTATTGTTTTTACATGTCTGCAGCTTTTATCTCGTGTGAGATGTGAATATTATCATGATGATGATGATAATAGTAAGAATAAGAATAATAAATGTTAAGCATTTGCCCAATTTCGAGATGGGCCGACCCAATCTGAGGTTACCTAGACGTAATCAAGATCTGGCAAGAATGTCAAACAAACAGTAAGTGCAACACAAGCTAATAGTCAGAGATGGACCATAAAAAGAGAAAGCCCAGACATTGCCAAATACATAAAATTAACTCAACTAGTCTCGAAAGGGGGCAGTGCGGTGGCGCAGTAGGTAGTGCTGTCGCCTCACAGCAAGAAGGTCACTGGTTTGAGCCTCATCTGGGTCAGTTGGTGTTTCTGTGTGGAGTTTGCATGTTCGCTTGGGTTTCCTTCACAAGTCCAAACACATGCTATAGGTGAACTGGGTAGGCCAATTGGGAATTGGGTAACCCTGTAATGGGTTGCAGCTTTGAGGGCATCCGCTGTGTAAAACATATGCTGGATAAGTTGGTGATTCCCAGATTAATAAAGGGACTAAGCCGAAAAGAAATGACATGATTGCATATATAAATGAGTTGTTTTTGTTTTGAAATGTTTAAATATCTCTTAAATAGGTACTGCTTATATAATTTTACCATCTCTACACCAATATAAGTAGTGAATGTGCGTGGGGCTGTGTCGGTGTGGTAATGTGGGCTGGTATGGCTACAGTGCCAGGGCAAATTTTTAGTCCCAGTCCGCCCCTGCATGATATTGAAGGTTCCTGGTGGAAGCATTTATGCCAGTGTAACCCCGCCACTCATACACCACCCAACCTGCTTCGGGCTGGTTTCGAACCAGCAACTTTCCACATGGGAGTCGGTTGCTCTACCAAGGAGGCTGAAGACCATGGCCTCTAGTGTCTATCGCTAGAGCAGCTTTAGAGGTCAGAGGAGTGAGGTTTACCTGCACAGCACTGCACTGGCTGGCCTCCATTACACTCACCCCCTAAACCTCACTCCCTTCCGGGTCACGGCACCAAATAAACCCCACCAGTCCTTCGCCACCCAACCCGCTCCGAGCTGGTATCAAACCGGTGACTTTCCGCATGGGAGTTGGTTGCTCTACCAAGGAGGCTCTAGCGTCTGTCACTACAGCACCTTTAGAGGTCAGAGGAGTGAGGTTACACCAGTAATGATCCTTTATTTCTGAGGTGTGAGAGGCGATTGCTGACGTTTTGATCAAAACATTTTTGTAAATTGTGGGAGTTTTTCTTCAACCGTAAAGATGAATTACTGACAATGTCTATACTCTAGGGTGGGGGGAATACTGAGTGTGTGTTTGTCATCCTGGTATATTGAGGACCAAATGTCCCCACAAGTATTGCAACACCAGTACATTTCGACCTTGTGGGGACATTTTTAGATCTTCTTGAGGAAAAGGGCTCACAAATGAGACAGAGGGAAGTGTTTTAGAGATGTAAGAATGGTTGTGTTTTGGGGGAAAGTTGGGGAAAACACAGTCTCTACTGTAGAAACATCATTACAGCTGTGGGAAGTCCCCATAAAGCTTGAAAACACAGAACATGTGTGTGTATGTCTGTGAGTGTCTCTGTGTGAGTGTGCGAGCCTGTGTGTGTGCATGTGTGTTTGTGCCTATGTGTCTGCATATGTGTCTGTGTGTGCATGTGTTTGAACATGTCTTTGTCAAAGAGTGTGTGTGTGTGTGTGTGTGTTTAAATATGTGTGCATTTGTGTCTGTATGTGTGTGTACGTGTGTTTCTTTGTGTCTGTGAGCGAGTCTGTTTGTGTGCGTGTCTGTGTGAACATGCGTGTAAATGTGTCTTTGTCAAAGAGTGTGTGTTTCTTTGAGAGTGTATATGTGTGTATACGAGTGTGTCTTTGTTTATATGTATTAGTGCACGTGTATGTGAGTGTATATGTGTGTTTGTGCGTGCGTAAATGTATGTGTTTGTGTCAGTGCGTGTGTGTATTTTTAGTACATATGTGCTTATGTATGTGTGTGTATGTACCTGTATGTATGTGTTTGT